CTGACGCATAACGGGAAATGGATCAAGGCATGTATAAACCAGCGGATTTGTTCTGCGTAGTGCTACAGAACCGTCGAGTGAGCGGGGAGGGAGCAAAGAAAACGGCTGTGATTAACTACAGCTCTACTGGTTTCAGCCTGGCTGCTTTAATAAGGCGCCTTTCCCTGGTTTTATGCAGGATTGTACACAGGAGGCCTCTTGACCAGCCAGAGTCTTAAGTTCTCAGTAACTGCTGCAGCTGCCAACCAGTACTTGTGTTTTAGCTGGCCCAGGAGAGACACTTATTGGTATTTAAAACACCTCACTCTCTTCCACACTCTTTTCGTTTTTCTTTTTTTTTTTTTTAAATATGCTATGTATACAGCAGGGAATAAAAGGTGAAACAGACATTAATTTGGCATTAAGCACCAAAACCTGAGCTCAGCCTGCATGGATGGCTGGGCAGATGTGCCAGGGCCAAGTGTGCCCCCGGGAGTGTGTACCAGCTGCCCTTCAGTGCAGACAGGCAGGAGGAGAGGAGGCAGAGCCGGCACAGCGGCCGGCCGCTCGCCCTCATGCCTTCCCTCGTCCTTGCCTGCCCTGCAGCCAGGTGCCAGCGCAGAGCAGGTCCTCTCCCGGGGCCACCCTGCACATCTGCGGCACCTCTCCCACAGTGCGGGGCCGTGAGGGCAGGACCATGACGCAAGTGCCAGCCTCTCGCCAGGTGCTTACTCCTGCTCCCAGGCTGGTGTAAATCAGGGGTTCCCCTGCTGCAGGCAGCGGAATAGCTCCTGATTTACAACATCCTACACAAGAGGAGAACTTGACCTTACACATCAACATCAGTGCAGCTTCCTTTGTTGAAAGCTGCTTAAGAAAGACATGTAATCAATCCTGGAGAGCCACCGAGCAGCAGAGCTCAGGTTCTGCGTAAGTCAGGGTTAGGCTTCCCGGGGAAATTGCCTGATACAGGCTCCCATGACATCTATTCCTAAGCGCTCCCTGCATGTTTTCTGATAGGGATGCGTGTGCTTTTCTGTTTTGCCTTTGTCAAAAATGGGCTGCTTTAGATTAATACAACCCACAAGGAGAATTTTTCCGTAGTAAGTCCGACTTACCTATGCTACTAACCTTTCAGACAGACAGGCTTTTAGTCAGCTCAGGTCTTTGGAAATTCTGGCCGTTATAGGCATTTGATGTTATTTTAGAATCCGAGAGGAAAAAGCTTACTGCCTTGCCTCTGTTTTCATGGCCATAATTATGAGGGCAGTCTGGTGATGTAACTTGTTTGGGAAATAAATGATAGCTTTCAACAGCGAGTGCTGTCAGACACTTCGTTCCTTGTAACTGTTTTAGAAATCCAAATTAATTTTGCACTTCCACAGCACCAGATGCTGCTCTTATTTATGCTTGTGTAAACCCCATGCTACACCGCTGCCTTCGGGAGACCTGTTCCATGTTTACACTGCGTGCGAGGCAGCAGAATTTGGCTCGTGGCATACATCTACTTATGCCTTGTGGTGTGATCTGCTAGTCCAGTAAATACAACGGGAGAACCGTGCAGACATAGTCTTAGTCCCTCACTAGCTGTAACTATTTGCCTTAGTGATATGGACCATGAGAGTGAAGGCAGGATCCTATTTGGGCATTTTCACACTTTAAACAGACAGAAGGGGAAGGCAAAGTACAGACAAAAGATTTTTTTTTTCCAGAATCAAACAGACCATTTATTATGGTAGAGACACTACCTGTTACAGCCTGACACCAACCAGAACTGCAGTGCTAGTGCTCCAGTTGCTGAAATGTTACCCTGTGGTCATCGTACCTTCACCCTGCACCTCCCTGCACTTTATGCTCCAGCCCGGGCAGCCTGCTGACCTAAGGGAGCAGCAGCAGCCCAGCTGTCGGGCTGCAACCCAAGCAGAGCACTGGCCATTGTGGTTATGTGCCAACCCCCCAAAAGACATGTTTAAGAATCAGCAGTTACAAGTACAACCAAAGACAGAGAGATAATAATAATACTACTTAGTTCCGTTCTTCTTCCAAGCTTGATATACCCCTAACTCCTCACAGCACCTCTGTGGCAAGGAAGGATCATCACTCCCTCTTGAGACGTGAGGAACTGGGATACAGAGGGGTGAAAAGGTCTACCACCTCAAAAGCTAGACAAAAAAACAGTGAAAACAAGTGGATACACAATGCAGGTACAAGGTCAACTGTTTCCCATACATTCGGTGGAAAACAGTTGGCCTTTGAAGACATTCCCCCCTCAGTTTGTAACCCAAATCCTGCAGAACTGAAAAGCTGGAAGGCGCATTGACACAAACCAACCAAAGAATGAAAAAAGGGCATTTGTGTCATATTTATTAATATCCTAAAGAAGAGCGTGTGGGCAGTAGCCTTCTCTGCCATCTGTGACTGCCGTGCTGCTGACCCGGAGGGGGTCAGGCGCTGCTGGCTCCCAGACCTGTGGTCAGACCCACTGTTCCATGGAGCAGTGAAGGCCCGGCCGCAGCCAACGCTGCTCCCTGGCAGGACACAGCTCACGACAGAAAAGCTACTGAAACAGTGCCAGTTTTCACAGCCAAACAAACTCACCTTTGTCCTCGCCACAGACGTACTCACAGGCATTTCTCCCCCTCTCTGCTGTCTGGAGGCGAGTCGACATTTCTGTCTCGTTCAGTCACTTGCTGAGTTTTACAGCCTGTTTTGGGCAATTGTTTGGTGGGGCTGATTTCCTTTGCTGGAAAATCTGGCTTCTTTCCTCCTCGCCCTATTTCACACAAGTACGTGCCATTCTCAAGATGAAGCCGGTTAGGGGTCAGCATGTTCCATGGCGAGGACCTCTCTTTGCCATCATGAAGCCACGCGGATTTCTGACAAGGCCTGGGGTGGTTATCCTTGGGAGAGGTCTCCTGCCCACTTGGGCACCGGCAGCAGAGATTGTACCCGACTGCTTTAAACCCTGACTGTCCCCTCTCATTTGTGACTCCAGGAGCTGTTTTCTGCCATCCAGCTCCTGAGAACAGGCTTCTAGAAGGACCCACTCCAGGGTGTGGATGACCTTGCCAAACTCCTTCCTCCAGCATGGATCAATTTGAGGGATATCTCCCCCCAAGGAGATTTCCTCAGGCTTGCTGTGCCCACAGCGTGCCCCAGGACCAAGGGCAGCACCGACACATCTTCTCCACCAGCCCTAGGAAGCCAGGGTGGTGTCTGGCTCTGCATAAACAAGCCAATTTTAGCTACAGATTCTATTTGTGTATTTATTTAAGATTGCTAAAATTTTCCTGTTCCTTCCTACCCCTCCTCCCAGCCTCACCACCCCCAGGGCAGGCACCAGCTCCCCCGTCAGATGATTTCAGTGTCAAAGGATTGACACGCCGTACCCGCCACCGCCCTCACAGGCGTCGCTGAATGAGCAAGGTGGGACAGCACTGCAGCCCCCAGCCCTCCTCGCAGCCTCACGCTGGGCACGGCTTTATTTTCTGATGAGCCAACTGATACAGGCATCTAGAAACAAGAACTGTCACTTAAAGAAACATGGTGCTATGTAAAAAAAAAACCAACAGAGATTAATTTCATGTTCACTGATAATTACGCTGGAAAAGGAGAGTGGGCCTAAGAAATCCCATCTTAAAATAAAATTAAAGCCTGCTTCAATTCTTCACCCATTTCTTCTACTAACAGCACACATGCATTTGTACATGTTATTAGATTGACGTTGTAGCATCCTGGACAAATCAAATCAATTCAATATTTGCAGGTATGAAATGCTGTAGCTGAGAAATGAGCACATAAAGTATATGCAGTTTTCCCCTGGCAGTTTATTATGGTATGAAGAAAAAAAACATTCTGTGCTTGAAGCTGACGTTATATTACAAATGTATTGCGAAGTATGACGTGACTATTAAAATATGATTACACAAAGTATGAACATTTGAAGAAGTTTACAGTACGGTGAATCTTTTATAAACAGACTCTTAAATATACATAGGACAATAGTAGCTGACAGAAAAACATCAAAAATTAACTATTAATGTTTATAGACTTTTCCCCTGAAAAAAGTCTCACATTAAAACAGAAATTATGAAAAGCCTTAAAACCAGGAACAAATCACCTGTACACTACAAATATACATGGCAGAGGCGCACAAACCAGAGCTACCTTTTCGCTGAAGGGTACAGTCGCCCGGGAGGCTTGGCAGTGCCTGCCCAGCACCTCCTCCCCGGTGTAACCCAGGGCTGGCAGCGCGGTGCCTCGCTGCCTGCAACGCCCAGACACACGCACTCCCACGCCGGTCAGCAGCTGTAACACCACGAGGACACACTCACTGCAGGACAAGGGACGGCACGTTGTCAGTGTCGAAGCGACCTACCGGAGTGTATCAAGCTGTGAATGTGTCCAGGATCTTGCAAATGGATCTCTGCAGGCAGACCCCTGAACATCCTGGGAGCTCGGATGGGTCCTGCATACCACAACTGGGCTGCAAGGCTGAGCTACGAAGGAATCAGCAGCTCCTCTTATGGATTTTATTTTTTTTTATTGCAACTTTTCAATCTTTCCTCTCGATATGGGAGAACAGATGCCACATTTGATTTCTGCTTAGTCTGGTTGCAATGACACCCCTAGTTCATGTGTTAAGTTATGTCAAAAACATAAGTATTTTATGCTGTAATACACAGTATTACTGAAACTAACAATATTATTTGCATATTTATAACAAGGTATAATGAAATCCCTATGATAAAACAAAAAGTTATGCTATAGATTTATTTACAAACAGTCCAGCAAAGAAGTATAAATACTTCCACATTTAAGGTTTAGGAAAACATAATTTACAAAATATTCAAATATATACAGTCATCTGAAAAACTGCCAATATTAAACTTTGATGCAGGCAAAGAATTGGCTGAGTCTATTCATTCTGTACTGAAAGAGGCAGCGGCTTTCACGGGTTGTCTGTTACGTTCAAAAGCCATACACGTGTGTTATTTACAACGAGACTGCTTCTCTCCGAGCTAAACATGTCCGGAGCTTTGAGCGTGCTGTCCCAAAATGTCGTCTATCATTGTCAGATTGTTCAACCACTCTTCGTCGTTGCTGCTGCTGCTGTTCTTCATGAGGGAGTCGAGGAAGTCAGCGTCACTGCAGTTCGCGGGCATGATCGAACTGCTGTGCTGGGACACAAAGTCATACTGCGGCAGCTCGGCAGCGGCGCTCATCCTGTTGAAGGTGTCGGGCGGCTGGCCCGTGGAGGGGTAGCTCGGCGGGCCGAGGCCCGAGGCAGGATTGAGCTGGTTAAAACTGGACACTCCTTGTGGCATCGATTTCATAACATTCATAGCTGGCAATGGTCCTCTGGTTAAATTGTGTCTCAAGTTCTGATTACTCATTGAGCTCAAGCCCTGGCCAGCCTGCCCCATGCTCAGTTTTTGCATCTGTCTGACTTGGACGCCGGGAGCGATCTGATTAGGCGGCACTACAGCCTGCTGGGAGAACTGCTGACCCGGAGTGCTTGGTCTCACGTTCTGCTTGGAGAAAAGAGTGTTACTGGAAAACTGCTGCATGCTGGTATCCATTTGGCTTTGACTGGGCATTCTTGGCACGGCGGTCGGCGTCCACATCTGGGCAGATGAGCTAGGGTAGACGTTAGGGATTCTTGGCATGCTCGGCTGCCTCAAGTGTTGCTGAGTCGCAGAGGGATTTGCTAAGGAAACAGAACTGATTTTTTTGCATTCCGGGCCGCACAGCAGAGTGGCTATGTACTGTTTGGCACCCCGAGTTCATGCCCAGCGAGTTCTGGCTCGGCCGCAGCGGGATGTTAAAGTCAGAATTAGGCGGAAAAACCCCCTGCTGCTTGCCAGGGTTGTGTGGAATCATCACCATCGTCCCGCTGCTCTGGCTGGCGGTGGCTGGGGCCATGCCAGAGCCCAAGGTGCTCTGGAGCATGGCTGGGTTAGACGGCAGCATGCGGTGGTTGGGCGGAGGAGCTGGCATCACCTGGCTGCAGTCAGTGGGAATGGGCTGCTGCACGGCTGCGTACAAAGAGACATGTTAGCTGGTGAGCGCGTGTTCACCCTGGAAACATGGCAGAGCCTTCAAAAGCTGCTGCTCCATCTTTCCCTTTCACTACATGGGCCTCTCCTCTGTGCTTCTTGTAACACAGTCATTACTGGAGCGATAAGGAAATGGGTGAATCTCATGATATGTGATAAAATGTGAAATGCTTTTATTTCAGGGCAGAGAATCATTAAGTGCACTGGATTTAATCAGGCTCTGGCTCCTTGAGGATTTTTATAGCAAGCCGTTTCCCTCCTTACCTTGAAACTGATTTATCTGCTGAGCTGCAAACAAACTCCTCTGCTCAGATGTTACTCCCAGCATGTTTTGTCTCTGCTTTTCCTGGAAAACAAGGGGCATAACAGTCAAGTTGCAGTCTCTTGACAAGCAAGAATAGCAGCAGACACTTGAAGTGTAGCCACTGTCACCATTAACAACCTCTCCCGTACTGCCCCCCCTGCCCCCACACACCCACCCCCCCTTCTGATGAGACTCAGCCCAGACAGTTCATTTCAGACCAGATATTAATTGCTCCCATGCCCCTTCTTGCACAGGCATCTTGACAACAGCCCAGCATTAGGAAGCGCAGCCTGTCGGCAGACGCTGTACAGGCAGCCCAAGGCCCAAGGGGAGCTGGAGGAACATGGAGACCCTCGTGTTCACCAGCTGATGAGCGAAGCGCAGCACAGCTGGAGGCTGCAGGAATCCTAGTGTCTCCCCAGTGCCTCTTGTGCTGACTGTTTGGATGTGTTCTCTGAAGTACCAGATCCGGGAACCAAAGGTACCCAGAAGTCCATTAGTGAACACAATCTGTGGCATCACTGCAGGAACACATTGACAAACAGGAGACTGCTGGTGGCCGTTACCCTGTCTGGAGGATGGCTCTGCTCATGTGTATCATCACCTTTTGTGCTTCACTTCTAACCAGAACACAGAAGTAAACCACAGCAAGCCAGGGATCCTTAGCAGGTGCTCTCTGAGCAAGGCTTTGCTGGCTTTCTCGAAGTGACCTGATTTGTGTCTCCCACCATTTAACCCTAAAACCCACCACCGTACTTGCATCGCTGCTGCGGACAGCAGCTGTGACCTGGGGAACTCTCTGTGGACGGTGGAAGGTAAGGCCTGGCTCCTGCTGTGTTAGAGCAGCACAGACAAGCTTGAAACCAACTGATGACAAAGAAGCAGAGTTGGTTTTGAAAGGAAGTTTGATCAATGAGCAGGACAGTACTTTGTTGAGGGTTTTACTGAGCTACTTCTCATCTCACTGCCCATCCAAAGGAATGAGTCTCCTTGACACAAATCCAGCAGCACACTCAGAAAGTCAGAGGCCCATGTTCAGTGCTGCCTTGTCCAACTCAGCTGTGGGATTCCCCCATCCCTGCTCCTTCACACAGCACGTTACAAACCTCGTACAGGGACTTCCGTTACTAAAGAGACCAGCCAAGTCCAGGACAAACTGGAGTCTAACATCTGCTCTGGTAAATCACCAGGGAGCCAGAAAGGCAAGCATGAAGAACATCTCTCCTGGGGCTGACTCACTCTCCAAGCCTCCCTTCTCTGCATCTTCCCTCCCAACTCTGCGGGTGACCAAGGATGACAGCAATGATATGGAGGTGACTGAATCCTTCCCTTGTATATGAGTGGGCAGATCTGCACTCAGACTTGCTGAGCAGCATTTGGCCTTGGTCTCTCTTGGGCATGACATCCTGGACTCACCACAGCCCTAGGCTGACTCAACCCAGCAATTGCAGGGTCACTCCTTAGTGTTTGCTGACTGATGTTTTCCCCATTCCAGTTAGTCCTGTCCTTCCCAGTGAGGTGGACAGCACAGCAACCCACAGAGGCACTCGGCATTGTACCTGCATCAGCTGTCGTTTCATTATTTGCTGCTTCAGTAAATGGTTCCTCATTGTGTAGCCATTCACCGTGGCTGGTGCCGGCACAGAGCCTCCGCTTGGGATGGAGCCCGGCTCCTGAAGTCTGGCAACAATTCCAGCATTTTGATCCTGCCAAGAAAGATGAAAAAAGGAAATTAATCTCATCAGGGAGATAACAACAGAAGCCCTCATCCTCTCTGCTGATGCCCTCTCTCCAGTCTTTGGCTGTCCCAAGGCCAAAACACCTTGCGGATTCACATGGACCCGCATGTCACGGTGAGGACAGTGAGGGGCAGAGGACTGCTCTGATTTCTGAGGAAAAGCACAAGAAAAAGTGGGAGAACCAAAAGGTTAATCCAAAATTCTCTGTGACTAGCCCAAGGCTACGGGACTGATTCACTACCATTACTGTAGTCACATGGCTGCCTGGCTGGCAGAAGGGATGTGAGTAAAGCCTCACATTTCCCACCAGTTCCCCAACTGTTACACTGAAAGACATAAGGAAACAAAAGTTGCATCAGGGCAGGATTTGGCAATTAAATGTAAAGGAGAAGCCTAGGGTAAAACTCAAGGAAGAAGAGGGGGAAAGGTGCCATCAGACCAGGGACCCAGAAAGATGGGGAAGACGTGGGCCTCGGATTGAAGTGGTTCTTGTGGGTTCCATGATTGGACAAAAAGAGGAGGGCTAACTGAAAGAAGAGGAGAACATGAAGAAATGCAGGGTCAGGTCATGGCTGGGGACAAACCAGTAATGTACTGGGCCTGATTCCTGGCTGGTGCAAACTGGCCTCGCTGTATGTCCCCAGTGAAAGATCTGAGCTGACTTTCACCACCTGAGGACTTCCCTCCAAAGAAAACGTGGGAGGAGGAGAAAAAAAATTCACAAGAACACCATGGAGACACAACCCAAAAGGGAAAAAGAGTTAAAAAAATACAGACGTCTAAACATCTTAGGAGCTGGCAGGTAGTCAAGGAAATGCAAGAGAAAAACGAGGGAAAAAGTCAAGGCCTCACTGAGGACAAGGGAAGCGATCCTGTAAGTGCTGCACCCAGGCACAGCCATACCAGTGTATTCCCCTTTCTCCATTTTCACATCCAGCTTCTATATTATTCATGATGTTTTGTTATTATTGGCAGGGAGAAGTATGTATATTATATCCAGCATCCTTAGCTGGGCCATACTTCCTTTGTTTTCAGAATGGAAGCCCACATCCTTTGTTTGAGAATCAATGTTATCAGGAGATAAGCAAGAAGAAAATGGTCGTTGCCTTTTGACATCTGACAATTAGAAGCATGCTCAGATGGAGAAAACAGGATACGAGCCATGTTTCAGAGTGGCCAGAAGAAAGCCTTGGAAGGCATTTGTCACCAGGCAGGCTTCTCGGGCCTGGGGTGCCTTTCCACAGCAGCTTCACCATGAGGAATCACCCAAGTCCTTCCAAGATATTCTTTGTAAGAGCAATTACTAAGAAGGTCACTGAAATTACTCATTTTTATGGTGCCTCCTTTTGTTGTAGCACTTCGGTCTATTATGCAAAAGCACAATTGATGAAATGTAAATGCCTGCTAGATAATTTACTAAAAGACACAAACCTGCAGCTCATCACTGCCCTCATTATCATTCCTATTCATGGGCAGTCTCACAAGACTAGACTTTATTACTGGTGCTTTGCTTACAATTCTGCTGGACATTTCTCCTCCTCCCCCTTCCCTCCTACCTATTTTACTCCCTCTCTCCCACAGAAAAAGAGGGAGGGGAGGAAAAAAAGTAAATATGATTTACTACAGATGTAAATATGAAAGTTCATGTAAAGCTAGCACTCTGCTTTCATGTCAGACAGGACTCTGCAGCCATAGTTAAGCTTTGAATAATGCAGATTGCCTCTAGGGGAATATTTGAAAGTGGAGGGATTCAGTTTGTGTACTCTGCACATGAAAGACACTGAAATGTTCATACTACCAAAATCCCTGCCATCTATCCAATTTCCTCCAAACTTGTCTTGTTGCGTGCAGAGGGTCTGTGCTTACTGAAGCAAATGAGTTTAGTGCAAGGACAATCATTCTGATGTCTTGCTCAGGGCTATTGCATTAACAAGTCATAACATTAAAGTCTCTTTCACTAATCATGTCCACCTCATTCTAATTTCTCCTAAACATCATCAGGAAAATAATGTTGATTTTTTCCATATTATTAACGGTAAAGAAGTGTAAATCACATTACTAATTGCGCCTCTTGTGCTGTGGCAGTACAACAGCTTAATTATATGGGATTTTCTGCAGGCACCCTATAGCAATAATGACAATCAGCAAAGTCCATTTGCAAATACCCAGAATTGGTTGCTGAGTTTCTCAGAGCAAAGTTGTATAACACTTAATTAGCCAGTAAAGAAACAATCTATGGATACATATTTTGCTTTTGGGGAAATTAGGACAAAATAGCGTAGACGGGAAGACAAGGAATGAATTCAAAATCTTGCCTTCTACAGTTCACATTTAGGTTAACTCAAAAAAGAAAAAAAACAACAACAAAAAAAAACAAGAAGGAAAAAGTTCTCTCTTTTCACCACTAGTGGGAACTACTGTATTCCCTTACAGAGAAAATAACCACTTAAACGTCATGACTAAGAATAGCTCTGGTGTAGTCTAAAGGACACTGCTATCTGTACCAAAGGTTAATGAACTTTAAACATTTTTCCTTTTCATCACTCCCCAAGAAAAAACACTTTCCTTCCCACAGTAAGGCCAAGCCAAACAAGCCACAATCTTAACTTGTCTATAGTTTGGACTATCCCATTTTAAAATCCAGGAAGATGGCAAAGAGAGGAGGATTCTGGTCTTGAAGTTGGGAACGATGGAAGCGGGTGTTCACACCCAATGGGTCGTGCAGCTGAGCCAGCTGTAAGCTACACTGGAGGGTACAGATGGCTACAGGGGATTCTCATTCATCAACTTTAAAAAAAATGTGTTTGCATGTAGGTATCGGGTTTTTTGCCATTTTCCTCTCAAAAAACTCGTATCAAAACACCAAATGCGCAGAATTCCTAACCAAACAGCACGCCAGATAGACCTGGAATGGGAGAGCATGTGTTTCTGTTGCTAGGCAAACTGTCACGCAGCAGGTCCGGAGCTCCTGCAGCACTCCCTGGGCTTTCCAGTGTGGCAATTTCAGTTCAGAAAGGCACTAGGGCTAACGTCATGGTTCTGACTTAGTATCTCATGCGCTAGTTTTGAGAGCAAGCAGGAAAGAATCAGGTT